ACTGCTGACAATCCTGACTAAAATGAGGAGGGAAAAGACCCAAATCACTAAAATCAGAAACACAAAAGGGGAGATAACAAACACCAAGGAAATCCAGGAAATCAGCAGAGACTACTTTGAGAAGCTATGTTCCAAAAAATTTGAAACTCTTGTAGGAATTGACAAATTTCTAGATACTTATGGACCATCCAAAACTGAACCAAGATGATATTAACCACCTAAGCAGATCTATAACACAAAATGAAACTGAAACAGCAATGAAGACTCTCCCAAAAAAGAAAAGTCCAGGACTTGAAGGATTCTTTGCTGAATTCTATCAGACCTTTAAAGAAGAACTAATACCAACTCTCCTTAAACCTTTCCATGAAATAGAAAGAGAAGGAACACTGCCTAACTCATTCTATGAAGCCAGTATTACACACATCCCCAAATCAGAAAAACACACATCAAAATTAGAACTATAGGCCAATCTCCTGAAAAAACTTGGATGCAAAAAAAAATAAAACCCACAATAAAATAATGGCAAACTGAATCCAACAACACCTCAGAAATATCAATCACCACGACCAAGTCAGCTACCCATCTCAGGGATGCAGGAGTGGTTCAACATAGGCAAATCTATAAATGTAATACAGCACATTAATAGAAGCAAAGACAAAAGCCAAATGATCATCTCAATAGGTGCAGAAAATGCCTTTGATAAGCTTCAACAACACTTTATGATAAAACCTCTAAGAAAACTAGGGATAGAAGGAATGTACCTCAACATTGTAAAGGCTATATATGACAAACCTATACCCAACATCATACTTAATGGAGAAAAAGTGAAAATATTTCACCCAACATCATGAACAAGACAATGGTAACCACTCTCCCCACTCCTATTCAACACAGTCCTAGAATTCCTAGCCAGAGCAATAAGGTAAGAAGAAGAAATAAAAGGAATACTAATAGGTAAAGTAACAGTCAAACTATGCCTATTTCCAGACAAAATGATTCTATACCTCAAAGACCCAAAAAACTCTACCCAAAAATTCCTAGACACCATAAACAGCTATAGTAAGGTGGCAGTATACAAAATCAACTTACAAAAATCATTAGCTTTTCTATACATGAACAACAAATTGAGAATCAATATAGGAAAACAACTGTATTTAAAATAGCCTCAAAAAAAATCAAATACCTGGGAGTCAACTTAACAGAGAATGTGAACGACCTCTACAAGGAGAACTACAAACCTGTGAAGAAAGAGACTGAGGAAGAATACAGAAGGTGGAAAGACCTCCCATGCTCATGGATTGGTAGAATCAACAGAGTAAAAATGGCTATACTACCAAAAGCAATTTACATGTTCAACGCAATTCCCATCAAAATCCCAATGACATTCATCGCAGAGATTGAAAAATCTACCCTAAAATTCATTTGGAAACACAAGAGACCACGAATAGCCAAGGCAATACTCAGCAAAAAGAACAATTCTGGAGGTACCACAATACCCGATTTCAAACTATACTACAAAGCCATAACAATAAAAAAGCTGGGTATTGGCACAAAAACAGATATGAAGACCAGCGGGACAGAATAGAGGACCTGGATATGAATCCACACAGCTATGCCCATGTTATTTTTTGACAAAGGCGCCTAAAACATATGATGGAGAATAGACAGCTCTTCAACAAATGGTACTGGGAAAAGTGGTTATCTGCCTGCAGAAAACTAAAACTAGATCCATGTGTATCACCCTATACTAGTATCATCTTAAAGTGGATTAAGGACCTTAATATCAGACACAAAACCGAGGTTAGTACAGGAAAGAGCAGGGAATACTCTGGAAGCAACAGGTGTAGGCAAGGACTTCCTCAGTAGAACTCCAGCAGCTCAGCAACTAAGAGAAAGGATGGACAAATAGGACTACATGAAATTAAAAAGCTTCTGCACAACAAAAGAAATGGTCTCTAATTTGAAGAGACTACCCACAGAGTGGGAGAAAATATTTGCTACCTACACATGAGACAAAGGACTGATAACCAGAATATACAGAGAGCTCAAAAAACTAAACTTCCCCCAAATCAACGAACAATGAAGTGGACAACTGAACTAAAAGAAATTTTTCTAAGGGAGAAATACAAATGGCCAAAAAAAAATGAAAAAATGCCTACCATCCTTAGTCATAAAGGAAATGCAAATCAAAAACACACTAAGATTCCACCTCATCCCTGTTAGAATGGCAGGAACACCACCATCAACAACAAATGCTGGCGAGGATGTGGGGAAAAAGGAACCCTCATACATTGCTGTTGGGAATGTAAGCTAGTATATGCACTTTAGAAAACAATATGGAGGCTCCTTAAAAAGCTAAACATAGATCTGCCATATGATCCAGTAATATCACTCTTAGGGATGTACCCAAAGGAATGTGACTCAAGTTATTACAAAAGGACCTGCACACCCATGTTTATTACAGCACTATTTATAATAGTCAAGCTATGGAAAGAGCCAAGATGCCCCACTACTGATAAATGGACCAAGAAAATGTGGTATATACACAATGGAATTTTACTCAGCCACAAGAAGAATGAAATTGGTCATTTGCAAGTAAATGGATGGAACTAGAGAACATCATCTTACATGAAGTTAGCCAGGCTCAGGAGGATTATAGACCCAAAACAAATGCAGTAATATTATTGGACATGGGTCACACATTAAGGGGAGAACAGGCATGGAAGAAATAGGGAAAGGAAAGGAAACCTAAAATTTGAATGTGGTTGACCCTGTTGAGTAGCGAATAAAGTAATCTAAAACTGGCAGAGGCCATTGTGGCAAGGGCCCAGGAAGTAGTAAAGAGGTCTGATAGAGATGAACCAATGTAGGTTGTAATACATAAGTTCATGGAACAACACTAGGAATCTCTCCCAAAGTAGCAAAAACAATATGTATTTTTCATTAGCTCTTATGTTTTCTCTTTAACAAAATCAGAGAAGAGGGCAGAACAGGCTCTGCCTGAAAGCAGGGAGTTGGGGAGGTGTGGAATGGGAGGGAGATGGCACAAACAATGTATAAACATGCAAGTATATGTAAAAACAATAAAATAAAAGGCAAAAAGAAAAAAAGAAACATCACATGGTACCCCACAAATATGTAAAATTTATATGTTCTAATGTATCAGTTAAAGTAAATTTAGCTCAAATTTAAAAATGCAAAATCTTAAATAAAAATAATATGGGAGAACCAATAATTAAAGATACCTAAACTCTCAAAAATTGACAATCCTGAAGATGTACAATAGAAGACAAAATGTTTTGGTATTAAGATAACTACATTATTAAGCTTTTTAAATTGGTTCACTATCACAGTGAGATCTAGCATCTTACATTTCTAATCAAATGTTATCACTCTATCGTCAAGAAAGTCATAGAAAATACTTTATTTTGAATTTTTTATTAACTAAAGTTATCTGAAGTAAAGTTAAGCTTATACTTTTACTAAACCTTTTAAAGCATACTGTCTCAGTACTTGGGCTTTTACAGTGATAGGGTTTTTTAGCACATGAATCTATATTTCAAATAGTTTGACTTGAAAACTGAGCATGGTTACACATGCCTGTTGTAACCCCAGCACTCAGAAGGCTGAAGCAGGAGGCTCAAGAGCACAAGGCCAGCCTGGCCTCCTTTCAAATAGTCTGAATTGAGAAATTGACACAGCAGTTGTATATACAAAAGCGAAAGAAAATTCCACAAGCCGGCCTCATATGAAAACGAATCCATTCAGAAATACCATTCAGTAACTGAAGAGTAAATATGCCTTCAAGATAAATTTAGAAAGAGTTAAATTTAGGCCAAACACAGTGATTCAAGCCTGTAATCCTAGGCTACTCAGGATTTGGAGATCTGGAGGATCGTGGTTCAAGGCCAGCCTAGGCAAAAAGTTTGTACGATCTCCATCAAAACCAGTGGGTGGACATGGAGGCATGAACCCATCATCCCAGCTACTTGGGGAAGATATATAGGAGGATAGTTCTCCACGACTGCTCAAGCATAAAGCAAGACTGTACCTCAAAAATAACCAAAGAAAAAAGGGTTGGGGGCATGGCTCATGTGGTAGAGTACTTCCTATAAGCACAATGCCCTAAGTTCAACCTCCGCTGCCGTCAAAAAAAGAGGTTAAATGTAAATTTACTAACGTTACTTTTTGGATTCGTACATATTTACAATGGTATAATATATAGGAAGCAACTATACACTACAATAATTCTAGTATATAATTAATTATCACTAGTATAGTATTATTATACTTTGTTCTCTGGCATTCTGGAAAATATTGTTGTTAATAGCTAACAGAAAATAGAAAGTCCATTTCTTTCTTTTCTATTCTGAGTCAGTCCAAGAGACAATGGTCAAAAGCACTAAATAATTAGGTGTAAGTTTAGGGGTTTGGTTCTTTTGGGGACGGGGAGAAAAACAGAAAGATTTAAACTATGTTTTATCTTCAACTTGATTTGCTATTGTGGGAAAACACATTTCTAGACATTTTTCCCAACTAAAATTTTTCTAAGTTTAAATTTTGTTAGATGTTAAGAAAATAAAACTCAAATCCATTGGATGAATTTTACAACAATTAAATATGAAGTCTAAAGTACAATAGCATTTATAGGTTGCATACACCCACACATATATGAAAAATGGCAGTATAAGGCTTTAAGACATAGAATTATTTGTTACTTAAAAATATAAAATCACGCACTCAAGAGAAAAATTAAATGATGCATTTGGTTTATTCTCAAGGAAACAGATTCTTATCACAAATAATACAACAGAAAATTTTATATAGTATATATTTCACATACTATTGGTGACAATTAAATAATTCTAATCCTTTTTCTATTTTAAGAAGTTTATATTATGCACATACATATATACAGATATGTATGTGTGTGTTTACTTAAATTTTTATCTGAATAGAGATATTTAGGAAGTATTAAATGCTGCCATTGGTAAAACTTACGAATCAACATGCAGAACCCTCTGGCCACTCCTTGAACATGCAGCCGCAATGATGGATTCAGGCAAACCTATAAAAACACATACCTGTATCATTCAGAATGTAGATATATATATATACATATGTATTTTACATAAGATGTTCAGTTCATGCTATCATATATAGTTATACAAGAAACCCATTGTTATATTCAAAATTATAGTTTGTATGAATTATAATCAGCTATTTCTTAAACATACACTACCAATGCTGAAATTTTTATTATTTGGAAGAGATATCTTTAAAAAGTACTTGAATTCTTTTATTTGCAAACTAACATAAATAAGCAACTATATGCACATTGTTTATAGATTTTTGTTAATTTAAGAACCATGTTACCACACTAACTTATCTAATCCTCCCAACTGCACCTACAGAATCTATATGTGCATTCTATAGATAAAAACAATCTGAGACTCAAGTATGTTAATTTGTTACTCACTGCTTTAAAATGAAAAGTTCTAGAGTTGAAATGTGACTCAGATCTAATTTCAAAGCCACAATGCCTCTGAGGGGGAATGGCATATATTTTTTAATTTAAAAAATATGTTAGCTAGTATTAAAAGAGGACATTTACAAGATATATCATTTGGGTTTTGGTCAAGTACAGCAGTTCAAAAAGAAAATATAACTGCTTTGGAATCAAATGTAGTCAGGCCATAAAGCTTACTATCATAAAAGGAAATATATATTATGACGATATTACCAATATAAACAAAAATCTAAAATTAACAAAGATACTGCTTTTATATTTTTTTTAATAATTCAGGTTTTCTGATATATTAGCTAATGCCCTATGCTGTAATCACATGGTTCTTTCACAACTTTTTCTCCTCAGCTATGTCATTTCTCAATACAGGCTTTTTATCAGTCATACAAAATAAAGCATGTTTCGAAAGTTCAGTGCAACTCTATAGAGCTTCCACTACCATGAAGCATCTGCTCCTCTTGCATTTTTACCTATCAGAAAAGAAAGGGCACCATTCTTCTGGTAAGAGTTTAAAGTACGCATGAAGCATCAAGGATTTTAGGAAAAGGGAAAGGTTATCTTCTCTGTGTAAAAAGTAGTATGTACATGGAAGCAATTAACATAATTTATGTTTAGTTAAAAACCACATTAAATATAAGATCCAGCTGCCTTCATGGAAGAACTAGTTTTCCAGTGAACACTTTGTGGGTATATAATGTTTGGCTCAAAAAAAGAAGTTCTGCACTGAATATAACCATTAAATATCAATTACTGGAAACAAGCCATCATAATGTTTTAACTTTGGATATAATTTTAGAAAAAGTGAGAATTTTTAGAGGAAAATAAGAGAAAGAAAGTTTTAAATGCCTAAGCATAGTTTCTTCAGTTAAAACTATTATTCTAATGTCTTTTATCTTAAGACTACCTGATCTTTTGCTATGTTTAAATAACTTTCCTTGTCAATGAAATGTAGTCACTATGATACTCTAAAAGCTGATAAGCAGCTTAGTGAAAAGAACAATAGCAAAGAAATACTTAGGAAGCAGAATTACCATGTTAAAGATTAATGCTCTTAAGTATAATAATGATAGCATTAGTAATACCACTAAACATTATAGGGTTTTATGCCTGAAAATATGCTATCTCATTTATTTCTCATTATATTCTTAGGTAGTATTACCTAAGTGAGGAAATGGGCTCACACATGTGACCAAATATCAAGTAATTCAGTATCTCCAATTCAAATTACCATGGTAATTCACTATCTCCAACCTGGACATAAGGTTGAGAATAAGGATTTAACGGCAGTACAGGCAACACAATAAAATGGGCATGGTCTCAAACAAACCTGGGCTTGAATATTTCTCCTGTTAACTGACTAGCTGTGCAACATCAGATAAGTCTTTTTGACTTCTCTGAACCATTGTTTCTTCATACTGAATGGAAATATTACCGTCTATCTCATAGGACTAGTTAGTTGTTAGCAACAGTACTTGCCTTATGAACACTATCTACTCTCATTATCCTTCAGAAACATATTTTAGAAGCACTACACTTTCATGTAACGCTGCTCCAAACATACTCCTCTTCACCAGGAACCCACCCCAATAGTGGACAACAACAGTATTACTCTCTCCTATCTGGCCCCAAATAGCATTTGTGCAAGCAGATATATATATGCTTATTTCCATGCCTGCAATCAACACTGGCAGAAGTCAGGTCTCTACTGACAAAGCAAAGCCAAGAATAGTTTTCAATACTGAATATGATCTGAGTCCAAATTACATAAAACCAAAAATGATTATCATTTCTGTTTTTCTTTAATACTTCCATCCAGATATCCCCACAAGTTTGTGAATTGATAGGCTGTTCCGATGTTAAATGGCAAACGCCTATTATCTTCATGCTTACAATTAAAATAGCGAACTAAGAATACAGTTGGTAATGACTTCCTGGTCAATATCTCACAATTCTTTTCACCCGTTCAACAAATGGCTCTTAAACACAGGAAGTATTTAGTAGATTCCCTTATAGTTATTTGCTGAAGAAAAGAAGAGAAAATAGGGAAGGGAAGAAGGCATAGAGCAGACTGTGATGGATGGTGAGGGTGATAAAAAGGAAAATAAAGGTGATTTCTAGCCTAACAATGCAGTCCAATGACCAAGAATTTAAAGCAATTAAAGTAGTAAGTGTATTTAAAACTGTTATGGGAACACAATGTAAAGAAACACTCTCATGACACTAGCTGGAAGGAAAGTACAAGAGCATTCTTGGAAAAGGGTAAAAGAAGGGAGAACCAAAAGGTGATGCTTAAAAATAGAGCATAATGTTTTCAAGGTCATCTCTGTTGCAGCAGGGATCAGCACTTCATTACTTTTTTACTTTTTAAAAAATTACCAGGTAATAACACATTCTATGACAATACCATATTTTCTTTATCTATTCTTCCATTGATGGACATTTAAGCTGTTCTCCCATCATGGCTGTTGTGAACACTGCTGCAAAAACATAAAGCTAGTTACAGGATGAATACCTACAACTAAAACAGACAAATTCATAGAATCAAAAACTCATGGTTGCCATGAGTTTTGGAGGGAAGGAAATGGTGTGTTATAATCAATGGGCATAAATGCAACATGTATAAGTTCTGGAGATCACTTGTACAACACTATAGCTATAATTAACTGTATTATATCCTCAAAAAATTTTTAAACAGTGGATGAAGTCAAACTGTGGGGTTTGAACTTGAATCTGTAAGCAACAGGGAGTCTTTTTTGTTTTTGTTGCAGTACTGGGGTTTAAACTCAGGGCCTCATGCTTGCAAGGCAAGTAGGCACTCTACCACTTAAGCCATTCCACCAGTGTAACAGGAAGTCTTGAAGTCAGAATAGCATAGCCAGACCAGTGTTTCAGAAAAGAACCTCTAGTCACAGCATGGAGAATAAACTTCCATAAAATTAGAGCTTTAAGTTTAAAAAAATCTTATTTGGGGAAAAGTAACAGAATTAAACACTTCGCCTTGAAAACTTAGTAAAATATGTAAAATAACTGTTTTAAGTTAAATTTATAAGATAAATTTTAATAGCACTTAAACCCTTGATTAATTTCAAAATAAAATCTCTTAATACTTAAAAAAGTTAACTTCTTAACCATTACTCAAATTCACACAACATCTATGTGAGCCATTTATATGAAACATTAATGTTCCTCATAGGAGGAAAAGCCAGAAGTATTAGAAACAGATAACCTAGATCAGGGTCAAATCATACACCATTTAATTGGAAACACTGCAAAATGTATGAGCACGAATATACAAGCACAATGCATCAACTGTAAAATGGAGTTAATAATGTATCTCATACTGGTCTAGGAAGGACCAAAGTGACAGGAAACACCTTATGGTGCCTCCTGCCATTTGATAAGTGTTAATTTTCTTCCCTCTTCCCCTTACTCCATCAATAAAATTAGCTATTTGAAGGATAAATAAGGCTATCACATGCCCACCAATTACCTAAGTTATCTTCAAAGAGCTAACAACTTAAAATGATTTTAAAAGTCCTCTTTCATATGTATCCTATAGAAGCTCCTCAAACATTTGATATCATTTAAATATTTCATATTAAATATGACTGGCTGTCCCAAGGAACTCCGTCTGCCATTGGAGTATAGAAAACATATAATTTAATTCTGATACAAGATTAACAAATTTGACTGTCAAGACATTTTAGTAGGTACAGGTAAATATAAGGGATGAAATTAGCATTTTATGACAGTTGTAATGGGGGAAGCTGAGAGTTACTTCATCAGGCCCTTCTCAGGGAGGTTCTGTTATAAAACTGACAGCTAGAAAAATATGTATTAGAAACTTAGAAATGCTATATGATCATGGACCATCATGGTTGGTCCCAGGTTTCTGCCATCTTCCCAAACCTATCTAGATAAAATAAAGATGTTTCATTACCAAATAAAGGATCTAGACTAAAATCAGGGCCACAAAGGTATGAAATTAGTAATTTCAACAACTTTATATAAAATATTTTACAGAAATGAGAGACTAAAATCAGGGCCACAAAGGTATGAAATTAGTAATTTCAACAACTTTATATAAAATATTTTACAGAAATGAGACATTAGCCATTCATTTTTTCAAAATCTCCCTTTAATACAATACTTAATGTTGAACCTCATCATTTACAACTATAATATTTAGGTTAATTCTCCAAGATATATTCATAAAAGTGTATTTGTATCTGGAATTGATTTTTCCTAACACTGTACTTACATAAGATAAACATAAAATAAATTACTTATACCACTCACAACATATGGAACAATAAATAATAGATTCCCCTGACAGGACTCTGATGATCTGGCAAAGCCCCAGTGCTTTCAGCCAATCATATGAAACAATAAATCACTCTTTATTTTATAGAACTTTTCAAAATGGATTCCAGCTTTCTACCTTGAAAGTCATTTCATGTGTTATTTGTAACACATTTCTTTCCAGAATGGAAAGAAAATTACATAGGACTAGAAAATTTACTGTAACTGCTTCTATAAAG